CTCACCTCTTTCGGTCCATTAATCAAAATTTGTTGGCATGGTTAAATAGAATAGTTGTAAACTTCAATATTTTTGCCACCATTACAGCTCTGTGTATGTAGGCCTACTTTTTTCTGCTGTCATTCAAGTCTTCTTCTTCTGCCACTTACCATTCTAAAATCCTGGCTGGCTCACTAATGTAAGGTTTTTTATAGAGACCGGGATTCTTTACAGGAATTGTATATGACTTGTTGGTGATAAATGTCAACAATAAATGGACGGCACACAATCCATTTGTTTTGAAATAATATATTAAAAAACAAGTCAAACTTATGAACCAAAATTCTTTACACTACTGGTTATCACAGTTATATCCAGAGAGGGTTCAATTACTTTAGAACACCCTTTGACAAGACAAATTATTCTCCGGTATTTCTGTTATTACGATACAAGCTGTGAATCTCACTTTGAAATCACCTGTTATGGGTAAACTGACACACAGTTTAACTTCACTTTTACTTTTTTCACTAACTTAATTGTTTTTTGTTTCTGCACATATTTAAAACACAGAACAGAAAAATCTAGAAATATCTGGCCCTCCAGTAACAACAATATTACAAATAAGGAGAAATACCTAGAAGCTTTGAGCAAGATTATGTAAACAATATTACAAAAGCCTAGAACAATAATTAAACTACATACACAACATATGACTCATACAGAGTTACGTAACAAAACTTGTCATAACTATCACTTTTAGAATAATTAATTTTTAACACTCTTATTATGAAAACTAAATAATCATTAAATATTAAATCCCTAAATAAACTAAATAATATGTTAAACAGTCTGATATACCCAACACTGACTTTGAGCAAATCTTTTGTACCTCTCCAGGAAAGCATCCATGTTGTCTTTCTGTTCATTAAACTTGAGCAGCTTGGGTTGGCTGGCCTTGACCTCAATGTCATTCTTAGGTCCTCCATCTTTCTGTTGAGTGAGCTTGGCAATCTCAATTTGTGCTCTTATTCTCTCTATTTCCAGTATCCCTTTCCTTTTCTTCTTTCTTAAATTGTGCTCTTTTACTCCCCATTTCCAGTTTCTTCTCTCTCTCCTTTTCTTCTTTCTCAATTTGTGCTCATCTTCTTTCTTCCTCTTTTCCCTGCCTCTCCTACTCTCTCTTCTGTTGATGCTCTTCTCTCTCTAGGTCTTGTTGTTGTTTAACTAGGGACTTGGATTTGCCTTGGGATGGAGGTGTGAGCTCTTCCTCCATCTACCTGTTGCTACAGTATCTATCTCATGTAAGTATTTCACCAAAACAGAACAGCCTAATGCCCTAGCCACACTACACATTTTCATTCTCCACCCACCTTGACAACATGTTACCACTGGCACTGGATTTACCTGTTATCCTTTACTGTAAATCTCTCTATGATGTAAATGTAATATTTGAATGAATAAATAACAACAAGATGGGTAAAGAGTATTTGTTACATGAGGAGGATGAGGTCTCCCATCAGGTGTTGCTCCACTAGATGATTTTTGGTCTCATGGGAGTCAAACCCCATGGGCTTTCCCTTTCTGTTACTATTTCAGAAAAGAGTTCATCTTTGTAATTGATTAGCACTGGCCCTACCACCATTTTCAATGTGATATTCTAGATCTTAGTGATGCAGAAAGGTAAGCAGCATTTCTGAAGTTAACATTATCTTTACTTGAATATGTATTTCAGATAGATACTTATCTCTCTGCACCACCTTCCTCCCCACTACTGATGCTTTTATTTTTTGTTTTGCCTCATCAAGAATGAACCTGTGATTATTTGCTATTGTTCTCAGAGATTACCACACATGGAAGGTGTGTTACATTATAACAATTACATCATAGGCTAGTGTAATACATATAGAATAATGTAAAGAAGGAGTTTCTTCAAGGTTTATGGCATGTACAACAAATTCCACAGCAGTTGCATGTTAGGTATAAGCTTTTGTTAGTGCAGAGAGTTAAATATCTATCTGAAATACATTTTCAGGTAAAGAAAATGTTAACTTGCCTGTTGCAGGTAGCTACAAACATCAGCAAAGCAGTTAAACTATCTGAGAGTCAAACTACACTACAGTCAATATCACAGAAATAGAAATACAGATACAATCCAGTAAAACAAAGGACTTTCCCATTAGGATGTACAATATTATGATTCATCTTCTGTGCATTATTACCACAGTTCTCTCACTTTAAATGTGCAAGTCACATACATGTTACACACACTTGTGTATGTAAATATCACATTTTTGCACTTTCATACAGAGAAACAATCTCAGGTGGTTTTTCCCACAAATATCCTGCCAATGTTTACTACAAAATTTTACCTGAGTGCTTCAAAAGCAAGGATTTAAAAGTACTTTCAGTACTAGTAATCATTTCCAGTTGTACTAACTTTTAATATTCGTCAGATGTTGTGGATATACTATAGTGAAGTTGCCATCACACACTGTGCTCCATATACATCCTATTGTGAAACACGACCTCATAGCTAGAGAATCCTTCAGTTTACAAACCTTCCCAACTCCTAGCAATAATTGACTGTCATGCCAACTATCCTGTTTCATAATCTCACAATGAAACTGCACTCACAGCTCAGAAAGTAAGGGCTCATTACCACATGGTCTTGTTAAACTTATTATTAAATTTATTAGTGAGGATAGCTTTATGATCCACAGTCACCATAGTGGGGTATTTGTAGGTAATACAAATCATTGGCCTTAGTGACCAACTTCTCTGAGGAACCCCTCTTTTAAGCCTTGAAGTTGTTGGCCCAACAAATAGCTCAATTCTCCAGTACGTTGACACATTGGAACAACTCAGCTCCAATTGTGCCCCAGTCATTGAGTTGCTTTTTATGCAAGTACTGGTCCATCTAGACTCAACATCAGGTTTTCCCCATTTTCTGATTACAACCTTTCCAAGCAGTAACTTGCTTGAAATTGCAGTTTTAAGTTATGTAAGTTCTTATTAGCACAGTTACTTCTGACTGACAAAATCCTAAATTAAAAATAGTTAAAACTTGAGAAGTTTATGTTAATCACATTTAGTAAGTCTTTTTAGCCATATCTACTGTTGGATGTATACTGAGAATCAAAGATTAGTAATAAATGTTACATTTGCTACATGTTCAAATAATTTTTTGTTTTTGGTTATTCATGCAAAGCTACTCAAGAGCTATCTGTACTAACCATCCCTAATCCTGAATTGATAAAATAGAGAAAAAACAGCTAGTCAACAGCACCTATCACCAACACTTGGGCTACTTTTGTCTGAATGAATAGAGCCTTAAAACACTCCAATAACCCAAAAGTGCAGAACACAATATTTTTCCCTGCTATACCAACCACTGGGCTACATTTTAAATGTATTACACCATAAAAGTCTGACTTATTAGAATGGTTAACAAGACTGTAAACCACAATGTACAGTAGACTTCTTATTATTGGAAGGATTTATTTTATTTGTTTGGAATTAAGCACAAAGCTACACAATGGGCTATCTGTGCTCTGCCCACCACGGGTTTCGAAACCTGGTTTCTAGCATTGTAAGTCCACAGACATAACATTGTGCCACTGGGGGCATTACTGAAAGGAAAACAGTATAAGCCAGAAAATTGCATCAACATACTTAATTTTCTTTAAGGCAGAAACTATATTTAACTTTGCAATTCATAATCAATCTGTAAACAAACTATCTCTTCCAGGCATTTCATTTGGTTTTAATGTCAAATAAGTATATATGAAAAAATCTAGGTGCATTTTATAAGCCTAGAAATAAATCTTATGTATAATTTTTATCCAAGAGTTAAAAATATTGGAAGAAGTAAACTAATAATTATAATTGTTTTTCAAACAATCTAAAATGTAATTTAACTACCTCTGTTAGAGGTAAAATAATGTCAAAATATAGGTGTGCTACTAACTTCTCCTTTTAGACCATTAGAAATTGCTTGTATTTTATTGAATGATTACCTTTAAATAGTTTTTATATTTAAGAAAATTATTCAGTTTTTTCATGTATACCTTTAAGAACATTTTTACCTGGTGAGAGAAAGGAGTTTTTAATCTCATGCTTTTATTATGTAACAATTAATAATGAATTATTTATTTAATATATATTTGATTTAAAATACACAGGCTCAAGAATTTTGGATTAGGTTCTTAATAGTACTGTTGCGTCTGCGAGTCACATGACTAGTGTGACGCCACGTTTCTAGAACTATCCCGTACCTTGGCGAATGCTCTAGCA